GGCGGAACCTCCCCGTACAGAACTTTACCGGGTTAAGTCCCCTCCCCACCTCCCTACGGCACATAATTATGTTGAAGATACAAGCCCTACAGCCACAAAAGCCTCAACTCAATTCTTTGTTGTCAAGGAAAGTTCTTTAAGGTGGTAGGTGTCACCCGGTACCAGAAATAGCTCTCCTGATGCAGAGAAGTGAGTTACTTATTTTTAAAAAAACGCTCATTAAACATTAGCAGTCAGAGAGGAAGTTCAATTCGTGATTGCAATGCACTGACACTTTCTAAACTAGGTAATTGGTTCTTCTTGGAAGTGCTATAAGTTAAATAATAAAAAAGTCATCAGCAATTAGCTTAATTTCGTTCGTAATTGCCCTTGAACTTACTTAAAATAAATTGATTGTGATTGGTTCTTTTTGGGTTTTTGGCCAAAAAAACAAGACGTGTTAAAAAGAGGTGGGACTCTTCATCCTTGCTCAGTTGGTCAAGTATTTGGATCAGCGCCTTACATGCAGTACGATTAGGGTGAGTACACATCTTAAAACAAGAAATTGTATTTAATATCATTCATCTTTCAACCGTTTCATGCGATTCCAAGTTTCACAAAAGTGACTTTCACTATCAGTGTACGGTTCTATATGAATGATGTTTTTTAATCCGGACACGAAGAGAATTAAAGAAAAAAAATTAAGGACGAAAACTACAAATACGGAGTGTTCCAAGACAAAAATGTAGCGAAGAGAATTTCTAGTAATATAATCATGCTTTTTAGGAGACCTGATTCCGTTACCGAAAAAAAAATCTTTACGTCAGCAATAGAAATGGGTAGGAGCAGGCAGAGGCGGAAAACAATAGGTTAGTGGTGATGGTGAAGAATATGTGTCCTGTTTTAGAAAGACTGCAGCAGAGGAAAGAAAAGAAAAAACACTCGGTTCCCAAATATAATTAAAGTCGGAGATGACTTATTTCAAAACGCAGAATCAAATCAAAGGGTCAAAAGGAAACACAGAGTAGGTTGGAAGGCTGTTTAAGGTAAAAGAGGGTGCACCGCAACACTGAATTCTTACCGTCAAGTTTATTCAGGATAAGTAATTAAAGGTAAAAGCTCACTAAGAGTCAGGGACCTGAAAACGCCGCAGCTTATTCAGAATTCTGTAACATGAAGCACCAGTAGTAATGATTTCGCCACTGGACGGGATGCTAGTCCATCCGAATCGCAGGGTTACACCCACATGTATATTACCAATGCCCAATACACCTGAATGAAGAGAGATAACAAATCAGAGCAAGCATTCTTGTTGAGGAGAAGATCCGATAGCAAAATTCGTGCTCGGTCTTACAGATCCCGCATATCCTAAGCTCGACGTGTTAACCTCTCGGCCACCTCGCCTCCAACAAGTTTTACAAGTTTATTGTTTTTCTGACGTTGCCATGGGCCAGCAAAACGTAAAAAATTAGATATGTGGGTGGCGAAGGGCGATGCACATGGTAAGTGCTTCATTATCAACAGAGCGCCTACACCCTAAGTGAGACCAAAATCAAAAAATTTATATCCCTAACTAAGCGAGACGACAAGCATCCCCTCCTTTCATATGGGGAGTCCCCTCCCCGGTAGGGTGCATTTTTTAGGAGCCTCTAATGTGTTGAGCAATCATTTTGTAGTTCTCTTGCGTCTAGAACTATGATGTTTTCTTTTGGAATTTGTTAGTTGGAATTTAGAGTACGCTAGACTTAAGACTAGACTAATCGATTTAAGACCGACCACTCTTTCTTAGCAGTCTCTTATGCCATGAATAATAAATATATTGAATGCACAGATCCCACAGGGCAGTATAATCCAACATAATATAACAGCGTTGGGTGGTACTGAAGGGGTCATTTGAACGGTTCTTAACAACATAGTTCATTATCTGTAACTTTTTTTAGCAAGACTCCCAGCTGCGGGCGAGGGCTAAAGTAAGCTTGCAAGAAAAAAAAAGAAGAGAGAGATCAGTAAATAAGGCCAATGAAATAATTCCAGAGGACATTTGAAAGGGCATGATAAGGAAAACATTACATTATTGTTGTCCAGTCCTCCAACCCTGGGGTGGGTTGTGGAGGTAGGGGGGGGCGGGGGGGAGCTTCCCTGACTTGCAATATTCTAAACAGCGTCGATCTTCCAAGAAGCTAAAGGCAATCTTCACATAACTTGTAACATAACCAACTCCTTTCCTGACAGTCTAGTTTTAGTGTCATCGTTCAATAAACAACGTCTTAATAGAAGTACGGCTGGTGATCCATTACTACACCAAAGTACTGTGCATGATTGTGCTCTTTGATAAACCATAGGGCATAGGAGGGTCCCAAGGCTCCCAGCTAGGAAATCTAGGTTACTCAGTTCTAATATCAATTGTTACACTGTAGTTATTTATATTTTTTAAAAGACGTAATCTGTTTGAAATTCCATTACCACCCCCCCCCCCCCCCCCCCCCCCACCCCACAAAAAAAAAAAAAAACCACCCATCCCTCCCCGCACACCTGCTATCAAACACACACTCCTCTCTTCTCCTTCCTTCCCCCCTACTCTCATAACACACGCCAACCACTACATTGTTTTTGGTCCTCTCGGCCCCCCCTCTCTCACCCCTTTTTCCCCCCTCGCTGCTCTTGTATTTTTTTTTTAATATAATTTTTTCCTAGGTTTTTTTTTTTTTTTTTAAAAAACAAACATTTTTTTAAATTTCATATACCCCCCCCCCCCCCCCCACCACGTAACAAAAAGAGACACCAGTACTCGCCTTCTTGCAGGCAGTGGCTAAGATATCGATGCCCTCATTTTCTCTCCCATCTCCTTCCCATAAATAATAGATGGTCCCTAAATCAGTGTGAAGATGTTCTTCAGCCATCGACACAGGCAAGTCAAAAAAGAATCTAATTTTTTTAAACAGGAGTCGAACCCATAACCTTCTGGTTACTGGCATACACATGCTCTACCACTGAGCCACAGGAGACTAGCAAAACCTACACCATTAAAGTAGAAAAAAAATTAAATAAATTAAAAAAACCGCCAAACATCAAAAAATTAAAAAAGCCAGGTTTAGGTCTAAGCACCTGATTACGTGAGCCGGGCTGCCCGATTTTGCTACTTTGCCAAGATCTTGGCGCCTTAAACACAACAAAAACCAACTTTGTGATAACATGACAACTGAGCCAGCCCAGCAACTTGAAAAAGCGACCCAGCCTAGATCATGTGATGGGACCCTAACCCTGTTCAACAAATACCCTTCCCAGAGAATTTTTAACCAAAACAATGAATAAACAGAACAAAAAAGGTCGTATTTGGCACTGACTGATTTCTCACTCTGTCTCATAAAGCACAGCACATTTAAAAAGAAACAGATTTACTTCTGAAAAAGCAGTGACTATGCAACGACTTAATGAAAAGAAAAACTGATTGGGCTGGGCTAAGATCAAGGTAATACAGGTTACGCTGTTGCTATGGTAACACCCAGCACTAAACCTAGAGGAGGATCAGGGTCTATTTGCAAAAATATGATGTCAGACAGAACTGCTGACATCTGTTGTCCAAACAAGAGTTTGAGAGGGATGACCATTTATCGCTAATCAGGGGATTTAAATGCTTCTGGAACCAATCCAAATGCAAAGAGGACTTAATTATGCAATCATGCTTCATATCACAAGACAATATTTTTCTTTGCTCCAGTATTACAAAACATACTAAATAAAAAAATCAAATATAATTCTTTTATACTAATTCTTGTAACATCAGTCAAGCTACCGTATTTGGAAGTTGAACAACTTTGCATGTCCTTTAACTCTAGGTAACTATAATAACATGCCAAGCAAAACATTAACTGTGTTTTAAAGAGAATAAGGTTTGCAAAATGTAACAAGCTCATTTAAGTTGGACATTTTTTCCTGGAAATTCAGGAGAGTAGACCTTTTGGGCTTGCATGTTTTGTTTTCCCAATTCAGATCACATTATGTTCTCAAAGGATAGGCCAACAAGTTCTCTGGGGTGTCCTCTGGGGTAGCATCACATAGTTTGAAATGGGAAAACAAAAGTTACAAGCTAAAAGAGTTAAGCAAAAGTATCAATAATTGCTTTTCAACCTTGTATGGAATAATCTCCTTTTCATGAATAATGCACCAATCAACATTTCAAAACAAGTAACTCTTGGGAGATTATAGAGTGATTTTACTTAATCCATGAAATAGGCAGTAGAATACGTTGCAATATTATGCACTAATTCCTTTGTCTTCCTTTGTTTACTCATGGCTATTTTGCACTAGTTGTTAGTATCTGTTTCATGGGTAAAGTAAAATCACTCTAATTAATAACTTGAAATGCTAACAATAATAATCATTAATTCTTTTGATAAATTGCATTATATTAAGTGCTAGTAACGTAATGATGATGCAGTGATGTAAATCTATCCAATGTAGAGTAGACAAGTAAAAATATAATTATATGATGTATCTGCCATGAATGCCCTATATCAAGTGTCATTTGCCTTAAATCATGTTTAGATAAGTCCACATCATGAGGGTAATGTGATAACCAAATCAAATTTTGTAAAAATAAGCGGCTCTGCAGCAGGCTCTGAGAAAAAGATTGACTACTGGCCAACCACACTGAGAGTTTTTCAAGGGGAACTGACTGCAAAATGACAGAAGTTAACTGGATACTACTGATTCTATTTCGTCCTAATTAGAAAAACAAAGAAACATGCTAAATATTTTGACTTTGAAGAGTCAAGAATACTGAAATCATTTTTAATAGTTATTACAGCCATGCTATGTCACGAGTGGGAATTTTCCCACAACATTTGAATATGATATGAGTAACATCTGAAGTCCTGTTTGGCAAACACTTTGAAAAGCAAAAATGAACAGAAAAATGAAGTTGCCAAACATAAATAATGCTGACAGTATTCACGACATTTCATGATAAAGGACACTTGCAACAGTTCTTTATTGGCAAAAATCATTTTTAAAAAAAAAAAATTATTATTTGAAAAGTAAAAACACCATCCAAGTTTCAAAGCAGACTGCCAGAACATGACAGAGCATGGCTGTAAAGGAATTCCACATAACTACACATTAATTTAGATTTAGTTAACAACATTTTCATCTTAGAGACTTAATTAAAGACTAGACAAATTGAGATGACATTAAAATCCCGATTTTGATTGCATGAGAAACTTTAAAAAAAATTTGTCTACCAGCAAAGTGAGGAACTGTCAACAGTGACTTTCAAGACAAAGGCATTCTATAACTCTAAATAGCCAAGATTTGGATGAAATGCTAACCAACGATATGTTATTTCTGACTGCATCCAAGTTCAGTTGAAGACTCTCAAAAGAACAGTTTGTTCGAGGTGAACACAATAATAAATGTATTTACAGCCAGGATATCAACATTATATCATCATCTCCTCAGGTTTTCAAGATCAAAATAATACTGCAATCATCAACTCAAGTCATCAACTTGGAAAGGTATAATATTAATCTTATAAATACTCATGTAATGGAGGGATTTACTCTTAAGTAAAATAATTATTATTCTCAATATAATACTATTGATAAAAATAGACTATCTTTACAATGCTTGATACCCAGCAAGATAACTTTAAATATTTTCCAAGTAATTGCAATGATATAAATGTACAAATAAGTGATACTTGAACATTAACAAGAAAAGTAACAAATTAACTATTAACAGTCAACTATTAAAGTTTGTATTTACATTACATGAGATGCCAATATGCGAAAAGTCTATATCACATGTTTAACCTTGTAAGATCCAAAATCCATGAACTGGGTTTTGCCAGTGATATTTTTAATTTTTTGGGAAAACCTTTTGTCAGCGATTTAAACAAAAGCTTTTGCATAATCTTCTTGAACATTTATCACCACGCAGCAAAGGAAATTAATAATTTTGGATAGAAAAAATGGATGAAAAAAACAATTTGGTCCAACAAGAAAAAGAACACTCTTTTCACCATTCAAGAGGTTCCTAGCAGAAGGTATTGGTCATAACTGTAGCATTTCACAACTTAAACAGTTTTGACTAAATATGCTATAAAATATAAACCTAAGCCTCCCTGGCACCGAAATAAGACAATAACCAAATGAGTAACTTTGGTTCACAAAAAGTCGTTGTCTTTGTTACATGGTACAAGGACTTCAGTGATGAAAACGACTGAAGGTGCAATAGGCTGGGTCAAAATACTCTAAGACTTAGTACCCAAACTTCCTCAATATCTCAACTAGTCTTAAGGCACTTACAAATAAATCATCTTAATAATAAAAATGTGTGAAATGTTCAGATAAAACTATCATAAGTCAAAGCACACCGGACCTCATCATGTCTCACAAGGTTAAGGCCTGAAGAGGTGGGTTTGTCAGGACAGTCTTCTGCTGAAAGTTTTTCGCTGTTCTCTGTTGAGGTTGAGTCTTCGTTTACAAGCGGAGGATTTGGATTCTCTGTCACATCAGCTTTACGACTTCTCTTTTGCTCACATGGAACTGCACCATTAACAACACTAGTGCTGCTGTTTGCTTGCTCACTCACCAATGGCTCTGTAACCTCTTCAGCTTCAATGTCTTCAAGTTTCCTTTTCAGTCCACTTCTCTGCACATCAGTGGTTTCCTCACGAGCAATCTTGGAAGGATTTGACGACTCCTCATCATCTTCACGCTTTCTTTTCATTCCAGGTTTCATGGCATTCTCATCTTGTTGAGCGACATCATTTTGTTGTGTCTCAGAACCACCAACACTCCCCCCTGCACTAACACTATCAATGGTAGATTCACTAGATTTCTCAACAGACTCTGTCCCTACATCTACAGCATCAGAATCACTACATGACTTTAAGCAAGACTCACTAACAGATTCAATCTCCTCTTTGTTATTATTATGATCAGAAGAATTACCAGTAATGCTAGCAGCAGCACTGTTTGTGTTGTGGTCAGTACTAAGGGAGCTTTTAGGTGTTTCAGTGGGAGTACTATGTGTGGTGTGGCTTTTAGTGCTTAGTGGAGTGCTTGTGGTGGTAGCACTAGGCTTAAATCTGCGTGCTCTTGGGTTACTTAATTTCTTAAAACGATCTCTGTACCTATCACCTTCATTGAAATAGGCATAGGATGGAGGTCCAGGGGGGGTTGGTAACAATCCTTGACCAGAGGATCGGAGAGGAAGGGGTTCAGAATAGGCAGGTTTGAAAAGAACTTTCTCAGGATAGTAGGGCCCATAAGGTGAAGAGAAATTAAACTGCATATTTCCTAACGAGAGATACTGCCTCGGAAATATATATGGCGCAGGGGGCGAGGGTTGGTATTCGCTGGTTCTACCCATGTGATACCCATAGGGGGCATTGTAACTCCACCCTAGGTTACTCCAACCACTTCCATAAAAACTAGGACCTCTAGATAGCAGAGGGGAAGGAGTTTGGTAGCGGTCATACGACGGTGAACCCCAGTACTGAGGCACATAATTCCAGTACTCCAGTTCATCATAATCATTGTAAGTGGAGGTGGATACTGGGGACCAAGTGTCATTATCAGGGTAGAATTGAGACCAAAGCACAGGTGAAGAGCTCCTCTTGTTAGATGGTAATTGCGAGGGAGGATCAGGGATCTTTCTGTTCCATGCCGTGCAGACTTCTGTCAAAATCAAATTTGAAATCTTTCGATGTGCACGCATCCCCCAATGAATACCATCTTCTGCCTGCGTGAAATTTTCCTTGTCTTTCAGTTCGGTGAATAAATCCAAGTAGACTTTCTTCTGTGAATTCTCTTGGCCAGTAGTCGCTAGCCAAGCGCATTTGTTCGCCGTTTTGATCTTATCAATCGGAATGGTGAGGAATCCCTTGCGAAGAAAGCCGCCCTTACATCTGTCTGCGAGCGGAAGGGCGGCGTTCCAAATGAACAACAAACTGGAAGAAAAATTTTCAGATATTTCCTTCACAAGCTTCTCCAAGTTCGCTTTATACTGCTCCAAGTTATTATCTCCATAATGATGCAAGTCCCAAAACGTCGAATTCATAACAATAACGTCTGGCTGACATGTTTTTAGCTCATTCAGAATTGATTCCATGTGTTCGCTGTAGGACCGAGTAACAAAGTAATATTTGAAAGATACTTTTCCGTCTGAAAATTCTCGGACTTCCCTGTACCCAGTACCATTCACCATTTTGCCTTCAAGCTTTCCGCCACGGAGCAATTTGTCTCCCAAAAACGCCAGTTCGCCCTTTGCGCGCAGTTCTTTCTGGAACAAATAGCGGCTGTCTTCCTGTGTCCATAAGCAAATGAGATCTTTGTAAACAGAGCGCTGAATGGAGTCGCCAATAACAATTAACTTCTTGTTTTCGAGAAGTTCGCGAACGTCTTTGTGAAAAAATATAGCCATCCTTAAACCGCTAAAAACGAAAACCTTCGCCAGACATGAACAGAATGTGCACTTTGCACGAACGAAGGATACTGAAATATGAGTTTCGCGCAAAGGGCTTTCACTTTCCAGAACACGTGACTATCTGTCACGTTGATAGAAACCAGGATGGTCACGGCGGCGTGACTAGATGACAAATTTCAGTCGATGCTCGGACGATAAAAAATATAATTTTTAAATTACAGTTTTTCAAAAAATTTACCTTGTAGTTCGAGGCGTTTTAAACGGTTTTAAACTAGCGGCTCACACCTCTTAAGTTTTTCCTTTTTCTATTTAGCATGGGAACGAGGTTGAGCATGTCTTCTGTGCGGAAATTTCACTTTCCGTCATTTTTCCTTTTTTCCCATTAGTTTATTTCCTTTCGTCCCATTCCCCCATACCATCCTCTTCCGCAACCGTTAGCCTCTCAACCTCTGGCAAACAAACAAATTAAGTTGTGAGTATATATGGCGTCCATCCAGGTTTTTAATTCGTCATTATAGGGATTAACAAATAACAAAAGAATTACTGAAATTGCTTTAGTCTGAGAACGCGAAAGGAGTATTCCTTCACAAGGCAACATGCGTCGCTCCACGAGAGTTCATCCTTTGCAACCGAACGATCGTCAAAATCAACTGGACTCCTATCCTGAAAAGTCTACGTACTGTGTGAAATACTTCATGTTTTTCATGAATGTTTTGTTTTGGGTTCTGAGTTGTTTAATCTTGGCCATTGCGGTGTATGCCATGCTTGAAAAACAAGAAATTTATGGCCAGATAAGTCGCCTAGCTACAGATCCTGCAGCGCTTTTGTTGGCGATTGGTCTTATAATATTTGTCATCAGCTTCGCTGGTTGTTTGGGCGCTCTGAGAGAGAACAAATGCCTCCTAAAATTTTATTCCGGTCTGCTGGCATTGATGTTGTTGTTGGAGATTGCAGCTGCTATACTTGGGTATGTTTACTCCGGGAAAGTCAAGAATGAAATGCATAATGCCTTTACCATGATGATCGACAATTATTTAGACGATCCGGATCTCCAGTTAGTCATTGACTCTGTTCAAAAAGAACTCAAGTGTTGCGGTTCTGAGAAGTATACAGACTGGGAGAGAAATATTTATTACAACTGCTCCTCTCCAGCTGTCGAGAGTTGTGGCGTTCCCTATTCGTGTTGCATAGCTGACGAGGTGAATTCGCAGTGCGGGTTTGGTGCTTTGCGTTTGAAAGACAGCGCGGCCGTAAACGTTATCTACACACAAGGTTGCTTAAAAGGCGTTGAAGATTGGTTTCGCAGTAATTTGGTCCTAATGGCATCCATTGCAGCCTGTTTACCAGTGCTACAGCTCGTTGGATTCTGTTTATCTAGACGGCTGACTAATGATATAAATGACATCTTGGCAATGCAGGGCAGATTAAGCTAAACCAAAGCACAGTCTCTCCAAAGCTAACAATGTATCAAAGTATTTTGCAAAGTCACATTCTGCTACGGTTCAAATTTTTCTTTGGTTTGAAAATTTTCAAACGAGTGAGTTGGTTCCTTCCCAGTGTCTCAAACTGTGATAATAAATCTATGACAAAAGAAATAAATTTACGTTCACTGATTTAAAAATTTTCAAACCACAGAAAAATATTATTCTAGCAACATTTTGCACTGTCTGGGCGAAGATCGCCTTGTCTTATTAATAATCCAGTTAAATACTTACCATTGTTCTTGGTAGATATTTATAGTAGATCTTGTATATTCTACATTAAGCGACATATTTAGGTGGATATGTTGTTCGGCAATAATATTATTGTCTGATAGTTGACCACCCATAACTATTCAAACTTTGACACAGGAAGCATAAAAACTCTAAAGAGCTTGTCGAACATGAGAAATGTATTGAAGTTTGAGCTCTTTGCAAGCAAAGAGCCTTCAATTTTTGCAGAAGTGCTTGGTGGCAAGAGTGCTAATGAGCCACACATGGTCATAGGTAATTTGACTAATTTTCTTTGTATAATGTTGCAGGGGTTTTTTTTCCAAAAAAAAATCCTGGTCATGGTTTTACCATGTAACACACTATTTTGTTACAAATAAGAAATGTTTTAAGAAGAAATATTATTTCTTAGCACTAGCAATATTATTAGGAAATATTATTTCCTAGCACTTAAATAAGTGCTGCTACTTTTAGAGATAATTTTTCATAAAAAAAAAATGATATAATTTTATAGCACCAGTATAAGATACGAGTGCAATATGTTAACTGCCGCTATATTTAGGTCTGGCTGGCCAGACAAGAGTAATGTGTTTTGCATTTTTGCACTTGAGGCACTTGGACTCTGTTGTATTCACTCATGCAAGATCAGTGGAAATACCTTAAATCAGTAAGCATTGTTGTTGAGTTTATTGGCAAAGACCAAAGCGAAGAAGAGGCACAAACGACAACATGTGTTCAACATCTGAACACATTTCCATTCTGGTGTTTTGAATTTACATCACAAACAGGATAGGCCACTAACAAGTCCAGCCTTCTCTTCTCGGGGAGGACTGAGAGAGGGGCAGAAATCAAGCCTATATGCAATGTTCAAGAGTCGCAAAGTGGTATTTTAGATTCATAACTCAGCTCAAAAAGGAACTATCTCATGGTTTAAAAACTCAAAGTTGCTGTAATTATGAATGTCCCACTTTCAAGGGATGGGGGCCAGTGGATTTCCGCTGATGGCTGCAAGTAGCACGACCCACAGCTACCTTGAGTGGAAACAAAGGAATATAGAACTTTGTAACTGTTCAGTTTCCCACCTGCTAACTGCACATACCAGGCAGCAGACCTGTACTGTTGTTAATGGCTTGGAAGTTCTTTCTCTTTTTTTGATATAAATTTTAAGCTGGAGGTCCAGCTCCTCAATGCATGTGTGGACTCAGATAAATTAAATTGGGATTAGCTTTTTTAAGTAGTTTATATTTTTAGGTTTGCATATTTGGTGGTGTGAATCCTGGGTGATGTTAAAATTGTTTTCTTAAGAGTGTTTTTATTGGAAGCAAAACTTATTGTTACAAGCATTTAGCAATTTCATTTAATTGCAAATTGGATACATTCTGTAACCATGTAATTTCACTTAGTACAGGTGCCACAAAAAACTATAAGACTCCTTAAAGTGTACAACATACTCTGCCAGTGAAGTGTTAACATCAGTTTGATGTCTTTTTAATATCAACAAAATGTTCACTGTATCACATGACTTTAAAGAAAATAAATTGTCACTCTAACTAAATAAAGTATTGGATCCCTGTGGGTCAGAACACAATATCCCTCATGATAATAACAGGCCTTTTCCAAGTTCCCCTGGGCCTCTGTGTCAAAATGAGGTTAAGTGCTCAGCATTTGATATGGAATCATGCAAATATAACCCATTTTCACATGAAAGGTTGTACACTGGGCCTCATTTTGAAAGTCAGGGTTTTTGGAACTCGGAAGTGGGCTATATATTATTAGTAAAATCCAACTAGTGGTCTATTATCAATGCTGCATTCTGATTGGTTGAGCTACTATTAGGCTATATGTTATAGCCCACTAGTAGCGAAAAGCACTGGCTTTGAAAACCAAAACAATGGCAGCTGAATCGTGTTTTGTTAGCTAAAGTTGTTTTGTCTCGATATTTTTGACCAACTAGTTGGATTTTACTAAAACAATAATTCCTCTCGCCCTCATGGCCTCTTGAGTCAATAACCCATTCAACCTTCGGCCTTATGGGCTATTGACTCAGAGCCCATTCGGGTTCGACAATTGTTAAATATTGGTCTATATAAATTTTGAGGTTGTTAAATTTTTACTGGTCCCAAGAAGTGACAAGTTCAAAAGGAAGCTCTAACTGGGAGAGGGGCAAAAGCTCTTTACCTCTCCCTCCATACTGGTGGAGTGGAGGTACTTATGTACTATGAAAAGTTAAACTCAAAGGTGACTCAAGTAATGCATAAAACTTTTGTTGGAGGCAAATATTTTCTTGGAGCTGAAGAGGAAAAGTAAGTTGCCAAGGGTCAAGTAGCCCCCAAGCAGGCAGTTTTAGGAGAGAGAGCTATTGAGCTGTGAACTGGGGAAGTCTTAAAAGTAAAGATAACATGGGTTGTGTGAGGAGGAGCTTGTTAAAATCATTAAAAAAACCCACACCACTAATCATACATTCACACCATGTATACTCCAATCAATTCATTTGTCTGGTAAATTTTATTTCAATCTCAAATCCTCCCATAATCATAAAAAAAGAAGCAATCAATATGATAATTTATTATTATTCCATTATATCATAAACCAGTTTTGTAAAAATAGACATGAAAAACAATATTGTGGGGTGGTGAATTCCATGAAATAATTCAACAAATTACTTTTCACAAACAAATTATAATTGTTTTCACTGAGGCACAAACGTTTTGTCTCTTACACAGGCATGCTTAGCATGCATTCCAGGCAAAGCACTTCTTCCTATCATCACATTTTATGGTAAACTAACTCCTTTGTAAAGTTTTTCAAAATTAACGATGAAAATGCTTACATATTATAGTCCTCATTTTTCATCCCAGCTGCTTTAACCAAATACCTCTTTACAATTTATTTGTCATACCATGCCAATTCAATTAAGTGGTAAAGTTCGTTTCTTTTTTGTTGGTGGTACTTATACTAGTATGACCACGTCCGTTGCAATTGTTTGTTGGTGAGCAACCTAAAGTCTGAAGAGAGTTGGTGTTTAGAGTAGTCATTTTTTTAAACAATGCAAAGATAGAAATTTTAAAACTTATGCTTTCTGGCACATTATTGAAGAAAGAGACATTCACCACCCCTCAATTTTGACCTACTGGGTCCCTTATCTGTGATTTCATAACATGCTGAATATTATTAATTATGCACCTTGGACAATTTGACAAATTATTCTCATTAAGGAGAATTACTGAGAGGGCACATTAAGATTGGTTGTATTCCTGGAAAATAATCTACTGTACTATAATTCCATCTATTCAAAAATGGGACAAGTAATAGAATGTTAAAACATACTGTAGTACATTTGAATATTGTATGTTAAAGGTCAGATTAAGTGCAACTTCACTTTTTATTCTAGAATAATGCCCATCCACATCCTTGGTAAAAATAAGTTACAGAGTCGAGAATTTGTCCGGATGGTTTATAGGTATAATAATGAGTATGCCCCATCATTACAAGTTAACTGTTTCCAACATTGTTTGACTCTTAACCCCTTACATTTAACTACCAGTGGATAATTTCTCCTTACAATATCCCTGCTTAATCAAAGATCAGATTATAAGGTCATAAGACTCAAGTTATGAAAGAAAATGATCAAAGTAGAAAACTCATTGACCTTTAAGGAAAATCTCCTCGTCAGTATATATTTTAGTAAAAGTACTTAACCACAGTCTCCGATTTTGCCAAAAGGATCAGGATGACCAAGTGCTAACTATCATGGTTGGCCAGGTAGTTTAAGAGATCTTGATATTCGAGGTCTTTAGCTCTTCAGGTCCTAAATCTTAGGCCTTAGCTTCTAGACTACCTGGTTGGCCATATTGGTTTCAAAATATTTTCTACTATTAGGAGCATTTGAAAGCATCTCAACAATCTTGTGGGAAAATAGGAGACTGCATTACAAAGTTTTCCTGCTCATTAATCTCATTGACAAGCAAAAACATGACAACAAGAAGCATGGAGAAACATTAGCAATAAAACAGCAGCATGCAACGTCCTGGCAATACAGGATGCCCAACCAAGCATAAACACCTAAAGTACTTAAACAATCTAAGTAAACCAAACAAATAAGATGAAACTTAATGACACAGGACACCTAAACTGTTCTCATCCAAATTAAAAACAAAATAAATTATTGATCCAAAAATATACCATTATGCGACAAAAAAGACAAGAGGCACCTAATCTCGATAATGACATGATATATTACTTATTATTACTTATGACTGTGGCAGATATTTTTTAACAGGTCACATTCGACATGTCAGAATACAGCTTATGACTGCATAATTATAAATAAACCTTCTGACAACAGAAGAACAGTTTTAAGCACCAAAATTCCACCTAAATTATTGATAAAAATTTAAATTTTCAATATTCAACTGCCTTTAAAATCTCATTGTGTTTTCCAATACAAAGCACTGTTTCCTTCTGACAACCAATATCATTTTGGTGTGATGAATAACGTTACACAAAATGGACGTTGCTGCAGATGACTGCAAGTATGACAGATGTGAATATTCAAGAAAGTGGATTTTGATTTACACACTCCCTTCCCCCTAGAAATTCCAGTCAATTCTGCCTTATAGCTTCATATCACAATTTGGCTTTGAATCAGCCATTTTCCCTCAATTACCAAAGACTTTTTGGGGTGGGGGAGTATGAGTACTTTTTGCACAGCTAATGTATTGTCTATGATAGTCAGCTCACTATGTTTCTACTAACCCCTTCCAGATCTACGTTGATCAGGCCTCTCGCGTTTATCCAAATGCAAAACTGCCCCTTTTATTGTAAAATTATCTATTATTATATTAAGCACTTTTTGGGACTTGACAAGTAATATGGCATCTCTTCATAGATTTACTCCACTGTCACTGACTTGGCCAAATTTCGTGGACAGTCAACCTGCAAAATGTACAGAATGACAGAGTGAGTACAAGTCCACAGCTAAATGTATCAATAATCCCCTTGGTTAGGTAAGCAAAGGCTCTTATTATCATTATCATTATCATTAACATCATCATTATCATTATAATTAATCATTATTACTATTATTTTTATTATTATCATTATCAGTATTATTGTTATTATTATTATTATTATTATCATTATTATTATTATTATTATTATTATTATTATTATTATTATTATTATTATTATTATTATTATTATTATTATAATTATTATGTGCATACTCTTAGTATTCAACTGGTAACCAGTTCCTTGTCCAAGGTACATCCTGCAACCTTGGTACTCAAGAACCCGTCAGTGGATTCATGCTGTTCCTAGCCTGGGGGCATGCTCTACTATTTGGGCGAGCAAAGGGAGCAACGTGAGAATGCGCGAGCAAGCGGCAAAGCCACGAGGGGCCGAGGAAAGGAGCTCCTTTCTCTCCCCCCTCCACAGTTGTTGGGTCTCCCCGCGTGCCAATCGTGCATGTACTTTTCACGATATCCCCCAAATGAAGAGCTTGCTTTCAGGCTATACTGTTCCTAATAAGGCAGTCTTTTGAATCTGAGCCACATCAAGACTCACCCCTATGCTTTCAAGGTGGCCAAATAATCCTTTTATTTTTTGTTGTCTCAAGTTCCCCGACAATTATTATTGTAAGTTATTATTATTATTATCATTATTACTATCAAGACACAACAGCCCTGCACTTTTGACAAAGTCTCGCAGCAACACTTTGCAGGTGTAAAGAGGAGGATGTCTCTGTCATTTAAATTAAAACTCATTTTTGGATTCTTCATTATTCTTTCCCTTTGTCAATGATTGATCATGAGGAATGTCTTTCAGACATAATAAGATATTTTACAAGTTACAACGATTTTATGAACAGCCCTAGCTACTTTTTCCGCACATGCACATAAAAGACATTCCCTTCAGAGCAGTATGCAGGTTATTTGTTGCATGAACCCAGTTTATGTCCTTACCTCCTATGAGTTTCCTGTAGCTTAGTGTCTCCTATCGGGAGAAACGTCAAACCCTGCTTTATTACAGACACCTCCTTATTACGAACAGTTGCTTTGTCTCTGGAGAAAGTAAGCCCTCACATTTACTCTAAACTCAACCCACTTAATGCCGACACCCCATTAATGTGGACACTTTCTGTGGCCCCACCAGTGTCCGTATTAATTGGGATGACTGTACGTGGATTTTTTCTTCAGAGTTGCCTGTGTCAGTGACTGAAAAATCATTGTTCTCATCTGCAGCCCTACTTTTTTCTTTTCACTTACGTCATATCCTCGGAGCACAGCAATGTGGAAGGAAAGAAGTTGTAGGGGAATAACGGAGAGTATTCCCTGGAGGCAGTCAACAGTATTGGGAACTTCAAGGGTGCGGAATGCATGTGATTTGACTTCCTCATCTCCTTTGTTGCAGATAATGATGGGCCTGCCCTGTTGACCATTTAAAAGTAGAATAATGGTATCTCATAACTGAGTATTTCATTAGCCTTTATATCACCACCTAAATCTTTGAATAAGCACCATATGCACTTATATTTCTTGTATAATTTATAAGTAGAAATAATAATAAATTAACCAATAATTATTATTGGTTAATTTACTAAAATTTATCTTGCATTAAAACAAAAAACTATTTTTACAAAAACTAAAAAAGGAGAAAAAAAAAGTGAGTGATAAAAAAAGAGGAATAAAATCCTGCATTGTGACCATTCAAATGAAACCTCTTACACAGTTCTTTCACATGGTCTTTTCTGTTTTTTAGCATTAAATACAACATGAAGATTAGGTAATTTTGACTAATGGCCACTCCTGGGTGTGAAAGGGTAGAGATCTTGATGTTAGTCCATCTGTGAATTTAAGTCTGAAGGCTAGCACCCAATACAACCAATAGGCCACTTGCACTAAGAGGTCATGTGACCAATGCTTCCTTTATTGTTACTCAACCTTAGAACGACTACGGTTTTTAACAATCTCGTGTGTTTTTAATAGAATGTGGGCTTTAAACTCTCCTTTGCGTAAATTCCCTCTATAAAATACCGTGAAACTAAAAAGTCGTTTCATCAGTGATTTGTATTGGCCGCCATGCTGGAGGGCATGCTTTTGCCCTCCAATATGGCGGCCAAAACTACTTCTTGCTTATATCTTGTTCAACGTTTCATAGTTACCCTCAGATGTGCTGTAAACGTTATCACATCATCTTTTCAACATTTTCCTTGAAGTTTAAGTGCAAAATTTGTGTTCAGAGAGGGGTAATTCATAATTTTAAAAATCACATTTTGGTCACGTGACCATTTACGAACTTATTCATTTTAAGAAAATGGTGCGGGTTTGAAAAACCAAATGACTATTATTTTGTTTACGATATGACCCACTAATCGTTTTTCGAAGGCAAAATCATATAACTTTCATTTTCATAAAAACAATGTCACATGACCTCTTAGTGCAAATGGCCTATTAGGCTATACAAGATTAGGATAAGAATAGAGATACTTGTCAGGAAGGAGGAAGGGGAGGGGAAGGGGAAGGAGGCATGCTAACTTAATTAAGTTGGCCAGTGGCAAAGTTCTGTCAAGAGCCAAATACAAGAGGTCAAACCCCATCTCAAAAAGTGATTCTATGAATTTAATGTCATATAAATTATTACCTGACGTGCAGTGACCTGTTGTAAGGCATTCATGCATTTCTAAAAGAGAATAAAAAATAGAGTTAATTAACCACTTGAAAACTACAAAAGACAACAACAATACAGTCATTCCTATTAGGAAGAGTATGAATATTTTAAAAATACACACCGTAAACACAGCATCTCTTGACACTAGCATAATCACAGGCATAGCTTTATCGACCAACGCCAGAGGACCATGTTTTAATTCTCCTGCTAGGATCCCTTCTGAATGCATGTAAGTTAACTCCTTGATTTTCTGTGAACACAAACAAATCAATTAGTGGGAAAGTTTGTTACTAGCTGGACAAAAGGTGCAGATGAAAATTCACAATAAAAAAAAATTAAGAAAAAAATTATTTTATCAATTAAGTTCCAAGTCTCAATTCTGTAAAGTGAAACAAACAGAAGTTGATGCTAATCACACTTCTCACTGAGCTTCGAAATCTTACTCTTGTTACTGTGTTGGTTAACACAAAGCATGCAAGGATTGTTTGTTATGTAGAAGTTAGAGTCTTAACTTTATAGAAAATTTGTACTGTAGAAGTGGTGAATAACTTTGAACATTATTATAGTATTATGTGACGTTCACAATGTTTCAGCCTGTAGTTTTAAGAAGCAAAATATACTATATTTTCTAGTTAGTCTACCCAATCAGTGCCCAGATAGAAGATTTGCTGTCACAGAATGTTATATTGTAAACAGTCAGGGTTCTCAATAGAAGCAGGCACCCGGCGATTGATCACAGCCTACTTTGGAATTTGTAGCCACTTACTTTGCATTCTATTTACTGCTTTTCCCTCCCTAGTTTACGGCCCCTCAGTTTGTCACGGCCTACTTCAACTCCTATTGAGAACCCTGAACAGTTGTATTAATAATAATTACCAAAGCGCCTTCAAGACAAGTAGCAAACTGAAATCCTCTACCCATGACCAGTAGGCTTTTCTGTTGATACAACTCTTGTGCCAAAGCCTGGATCTGTTCATCAAGAGTAAGCACTTCTTTGATGAGATCTGTTGACAAATTACAAGATTTAATTAACAAATTTAATCCAATATTCTCCTTTTTCAAGTCCAAAACCCCACATACAGGTCTGTAGGTTTTTGGCTTTAAACTATCCTTTTTCCTTTTTCAATTTTTACTACAGTGGAAACTTGATATAACCAAGGGCCAACAAAATTTGTTCACTATATATAACAAGGTTTTATTAAATTAAGGTTCATTTCCATACATTCTACTATACTGGGGTAAAGAAAATCATTCATTATAGTTCCGAGGACTCTATCATATAGAGGTTCATTATATTTATCAAGCTAAGGTTCCACATATTCTGTAGAGAAAACAATAATTTTTCATACCCCTGGGAACCTGACTGGAAGACATACAAACATGAGACATTCATGAAGAAAAAACAACAACCTCTGAAATTCAGGGAAAATGGTCATAATCTGTAAGTTATTTTATTCTGTTCAGTTATTCAGTGACATTCATTCCACACATTTTCAAGATTCACTCAATGACTTAGTATGAGGATTGTTCTATCTAACCTTTACTCATAATACAAGCTACCCCACTAATAAAGTCAAATTCTTATGGCCTGTTTGTTAGTAATGGGGTTCCACTGTACATTTATTACTTACCTGGCAGACGCTTCATTTCCTTAATAATCTGATTCCTTCTTTCCTGCATTGAAATTCTGTCCTCTGACATCATTAGTGCAAACATAGTAAGAGCCAAAAACTGACTGGTGTAAGCCTAACATTCAACAAAACAAAAAATTTAAAGTTAGAAGTCAAACCTCCTGTTCAGCAGCAATACTTATTGGAAATAGGTGGCAAAATAAATTAAGGTGGCTCTTGTATGGACATGCCAACCACCTGGTTTTGTATCAATTGATTAAAACAATGGGGTGAAACATCATTAAGTGACGTGTCCTGAACATGGACATGGGAACGTTTTGCTCATCTGGCCCCAGTAGTTCAAAAGCTGGATACAGTCAACTCTTCCCTTGAGGACACCCAGCTATAACGGACACCCTGATAGTACCGACAGCAGCTAAATCCCAGCCAAAAATAAATTATAGTTGTTTGACTGAAATAAACTTCCACTATAACAGACTCTCGCTAATGAGCCTACTGTAAACTCAAGGTTCCTACAGTGTTCGCTGTAAAGGGAGTTGATTGTAGCGCTATCCACCAGATATCCAGTGGATAAGTATTTGGGTAACCAATTGCATTAGTCAGCGGACTAAGATTTATCCATCAAATGGCGCTATTCACCTTTTGAACAGCTGGGGCCTGATTGGCTCTCTTACTAGAGGACCAGGGGCCATTTCTCTAAGGGTGCAGTAACTTTTCAGGGCCATTATAAAATATTCAAATCAAAGCAGGTCCTATTATGACCAACAAGCTGGTCCACTATGTTTTCTAAACTGATAATTTCATCATTATTATTAACAGAAAAACTATTAAATTATTTTGAATGTAAACAATGCTTACTTTCTGGGCCCATTAATCACCAAGACTTTCGAGAAACTTAACCCAGGCTGCTAACAGAAAGGATAACAAAAGACCACCTTCTCACACACAACTGGGAGCCATACCAAGCTGACCATGCAGCCTGATTACAGCATGAAAAGAGCTAATAAACAGCTGATAAGAAACTGAGACTAGATACAAGAACAAACAGAACTATGGCACTACTTTAACTTGTAAAAGGGCAGGTGGGCAGGGCAGGTCAGGCAGTGGTGGATGGCAACAAAAACAACTGAACTTTAAAACGCCATGTGAGCTGAAGACCCCTGCACACTTAAACCCATGCTCCCAGCCGTGTGTGAAAAAAAAGTTTTCTGCTTCTTTTGTTCCTCAGCCAACGAAAAACCACACTTCTTGAAGAGATTATATGAGCTACCACAGCTGCAAGTAGCGCATAATAACTATCACTCTACCTTAGTACTTGCAACTCCAATCTCAGGTCCAGCGTTGATGTGGCATCCACACATACTCTCCCTTGATATTGAACTTCCAACTAGAAATCAATGAATAATATGAAATAAAAGGGGTTACGTCACACTATTAATTTCCTATCTTTTCAAAAAACTAAAACTTCTTTTGCATCAATTGAATTCAAAAATAATGGTACAGTTTGGTTAGGCACTGAAACCATTTCCTGTCATCATGCAGTGGCAACCAATGGCAAGGACGGAAATGAATTAAAACTTGAAAAAGTTGAGTCAACGTTTTCAAGTTTTAATGCAACACCTGCAAAAATCACCAAAGAAATAATTATGGTTTGTGCTCCCTGATGAAATTTGTTGGATATCTTCAGCATAACTCTACAGTAGCATATTTTTGTGTACGGGTGAAGGCAAGTAATGACTTCAGCACAGAATTGACCTAAAACAGTAATATCCTTGTCACATAGCACCTTTTATACATGTTATGCCCTTCAGAAGCAGAATATAATTCATTATAAATTAAATCTGAACAATGCACTCCATAAAAAAAGGTGGGCACTTTGTGCAATATTCTAATAACACAATACAGGCCTGTTGGCCTTGCCTGTGAGCTTTTGCTGAGGGAATGATGCAAACAACATGGATAGCTTGCATAACTGCGGGTGCTTCATGGCCCAACAAGGTGAACAGGGCATTTCGCTCAAGATAAGCTCATGCCCCATATGCCTTACTTGGCTCATAAAGCACTTGTAATGGAGACGGTTTTTCTAATTGTAAAATTAAAGTACCAGTATTTGTAACGCCCACAATGAGTGCTCCTCTGTCCTTGCAATAACGTAATGCATTCAGAGTGTCTGCAGTCTCTCCTACAAAAAAGGGAATACAACAATATTTATTGATAATGATGATGACAATAACAAAACAGTAATACAAATGTGCATAACTTGGTCTTGACAGCGAAAGAAAATATTCTCTATATCTCCAGAAGAAAATATGGGAAACAGGACTGTGCAGATGGATTAAAATACATACCTGACTGACTGATGAAAAAACACACATCATCTCGGAAGACTGGTGTCGACCGATCAAGAAAATCACTTGCTAATTCCACCATCACTGGTAATTCTGTCAGCTCTTCCATCAACTGTCTTGTCTGTCATCAAACAGTTAAAAATGTTTTTAATTAATTTAACAAGGCAGAGCTCTAATTAAAGAAAAATAATATCTTCTATGAAGGCCAAAAGCTATACATACATGAATGCAGGTGCCTAACTGTTTAGCGAAAAGGCTACGTAATGGTTTCTAATAATTATTTGCCCAAAGGAAAAGTACATGGATGTCATCTCTGCAGTTAATTTTTTATTTCAGTTAATTTTTGTTTTTCCTTTGTTTTTGGGTGAGTGAATTTGAAACATAGGAAAAACCAAAAAATTATGGGAAATAAAAAAATTAACTACAATATCTCCATGGGCAACATGGCACTGCTGGATCACAGCCCTGGATTAATATAGATTTCCCTAAGAAATAGATTATAAATCATCACATTCATTTCTATATCATATTTCTAAAATAATAAACATTATTTCTTTTTCTAATTCTACAGACAAATAAATTTATTATACTAATAAATCCTTACAGCTGCAGACACGATTTGAAGATTTACGAAAAAAAATTAAATTTTATGACATATTTGTAATAAGATCAAATGATTTCTTAATACTGATAGAACAAGGCATTTTTGGATTTTGGCATTTTTTCAGACTAAAAGTTACTCCTATAAACCTATGTTTTATCAAAATGTTAAAATATTATTACTAACACTTACAGCTAATGCACTGTGATAGCTTGTTCCACAAGCAATCATCAGTATTCTGCGACATCGGCGAATGGTGTCAATGTGGGACATCAGACCACCAAGTCGAACTGCAAAGATTACAGAAAGGTTGAATCATGGAAATCAGAACAAAAGAGAATCCTTTCCACACCAACCGTGAAATACTAAAATTATTCATTTTATTTGTAAAAATGCAAGAAAAATTCAATTGGTACAATTAAATCAGTATGTGTACAAAAAAGGATAAACTCTACATGGATTCTCTCTATGAACAGTTTGCATCATGGTCAGAATAATATCTCATTCCTATTTATAATAAAGTTCAGGTATATAATGCACACTCTGATTTGGTAGAGGTAGGTAAGTAGGTATTTTATTTATCCACATTACACGGATGAGTACAAGACTTGTTAAAAAATTTAATGTGAACGTGCCAAATTACTATATCCAGTACATGTTAAAACAGAAAAAAAAGAACGCTTTACGAGGGTATAAAACATGGAGCTAAAGCTGTCATACCATCTGTGAATCACACCATGCCGCAGTGGTTTTCAAGACCAAAGTTTTGCATTTCAGGGTTAAAAATACACCGTCAAAAGACAAATGGAAAGGGAAAGTTTAAAAAAAGCTAAGTTTTCTTTTGTGGACAAGGAAGGCTTCTGGTTTTACATTCAGGTTCACTTTTTGGATACTTTACGATATGAAGCTAAAGCAGTTTGTTTTCTAATTATTGTCGTGTTAATGACGTCCAGGTTTTCGTGAGCCACAATTTGGCTAGTTTTACTTTTTACCTTTAGAAACTGATTTTGGGACATAAAAAGTATATTTCTCCTACATTCAAATTCACAGAATGTTTCCCTTGTTTCATTTGATAGCTTTGATGTTTTGACAGCTTTGACAGCTTTTGCCTTATTCAACCAATCAAATCATTTGGCCATTCTAAAAAGGATAATTGTGATTGGACAACTAAGTGTGTTTTATTAAAGAGTGTAGAACATGCTGAGGAAGCAGCTAGAGCACTACTCTCGTGTTTCCCCCTACACTTCTTTCATGCTCTATACTAGCTGCTTCATGCCATGCTTTACAACAGAACAGAGCACAGTCAAGGCTTCTTTATTTGTTCCACCACCAACACCAACAGTACTATTCACTTCACTTACATAATATGATGCCATTACATGATGATAATGATAATGATAATAATAATAATAATAATAATAATAATAATAATAATAATAATAATAATAATAATAATAATAATAATGATAATGATAATAATTTGTAGGACATTTTTTTCTTTATTGGAGGTAATAAAAATAATTAATTATTATTATTATTGTTGAACTGACAATTGTAAAAATAATATTTTTTTTATTAACTCCTTTGTTACTTCCAATAAAAAAAAATTATCTTACGAGATTAATGTTTGGATTGTATATATATGCACATGTACATCAGGGTGCTATTAATAAAACGTTCCAGTTTTCAAACTCAGTCTATGACTTTATCTGGCTATTTTTATCTCACTCAAAGGCTAATTGCTGAAACTAACTGAAAATTAAAGAAGTTGCTCAGTTGGGAAAGAAATTCCTCACCATTTCCTGTTTCCAATTGTACTCTGCCTCTCATAGTATTCACAACACTTTCTGGCTGTTCAAAGATCTCTTTCTGCATAAAAGAGCTGAAATTTCCTACAATGATCACAAATATTAGCCATTATAATTTCAATTTTACTAACCTTAAGTACAAATTCTAATAAATTTGTGATTAAATGGACACCCCATGTTCTAGACCCAAGGCCAAAATTTATGAAGGCTGATTAATGCAAACTCCGCGTTAAATTTTCATCCCTGTTTTTTTTGTTGTTGTTCAAAATGTTTTTTGTTTAATTTCTGTTCATTTTGACACATCACTTTAGAGGGTAAAACTTCCAATATTATAAGCACAAGAACGTGCTTTGTAAACATTCAGATTTGTACTGGAATTTTACGCTAGTATCCTTGGTTACCTTAATCCTCCTTTTAAAAAATCAGGCACAGGACTCCCACAGTCATGACCCTGTTTGGCCATACATACCCAGATACATGTGAGTATTCAACAGGGTGCATTGGCATTCCCTTGAGTGGGAAATCCCAAGTGTTAACCCAGCTATATAATATTATTATACACTGTGTTTTTTCTTTCTACCTTTCATGATTTGTTGTAGTTCCATCTGCAGTGTTTGCACTTCTCTGAAGTAATCTTCATCTGATGCATCTCCACGCTTGACACGATGGATAGACAAACCTTATTAACCACAAAAATTTCAAAGAGTTGATCAATATCAAACACTGTATGACAATTTGCATGTACAGTACGATTAAATATTCTACTAATGCCTTCTACAGCTGTAAAGTCATTTTAGGGAGAATAAGTCTTCAAAGCCCCTCTCATATGGCAGTTCACATTCAGTTTTCATACAACTTCCTAACCATTAGAGTGAATTATTATGAACTAATCATATAAAGTTATTAACTAAACAAAATGTAGAAACATGACCGTGATCAGTATTTGGGTCACTTGGGTGACAACTTTTCCCTTTTTTAAAAAATTATTCAACCCTTAAAATCTACCACAAAGGATTCACATCAAGGATTTCCCTTATGTCACACTACCACATGTTTCCCTTGCATCAGAACTGTAAGAGTTTCCTTCTATCATTTGTTCCCCCACAAAAGAAGTGCAGATAGTTTAATTCAACAGTTCAAAGTATTCACGTACTCATACTTAAACACTTAAGGAACTCGGACTTGTTCACGTTAAGTACTTCCTGTGCTCTAAAGTACGTTCTTGGTAATTCATTAATTCTGCTCAGGATTGTAATCTAGAACTATCTGTTTTGTTTTGCCATTCCTTGCAGAAATAAATTTTATTGTGGTTCACAGCCTGAACTATAATTCAAATAGCGTCACAACTTGCCTTGGTCATATAGAAATAAACTGGTTGAGTTTTCATTTTGGTATTGGCCTTATGATTTTTAAAACCATACACATAATTCTCATTAAAATAAGCTGTGATTCAAAAGTCAAATTTTAACTAGGAAATTCACATTTCAGTGTGTGAAAGTTAGTGCTGACAATGGACCTTAGACATTTTAAGTTAGAGCTATAAATTTAAAACAACACATTGGGAGGTTATTGTACCCCAAAAATAATTTTCTAAAAAATGTACAAAAGTAGATCTTTAAATGAGATAAATGTTAAAGCTACACACGTAAATCTGAGAAACCTTGATATATCAGCTATCAAAAGTAAAAAGTCATCATTCCCCAGAAAGATTTGTGGCAGTTTATAATTTCATAAGTCAGTTAATTGTTATTTCCCTTTGATTTTGGGTATGGTAATTTGCATATGCATATGAATTACAAACAAAAGAAAAACCAAAATAAATTGATATAAAGGATTAACTGCAAGAGACATTTCAATGAAATCACACATGCATAAATAAACAATTAATGCTTGGTAGAAAACGATTAACGTGACTACTGATAAGTGCACAATCAAAGTGCAAAGTTACAGACAGATCACTTACTGCCATTAACAACAGCGGCTACATCATCATCCTCCATGTATATCACTCTGTTGGTGTGCTCAATAACCGCACTGTGTAATAATTGGATATTAGCCATAACATTGAGTTGACTAATTTGTTTAACAAAACATATCCACCCCCTCCCCTCCCTGCAAGAGATTGCTCTACAACCCCTCTTTTACATCACGTTTGATGACATTTAGCCATGCAATGATGGCAGAGAAACCTGCCAAAAAGTTTGCTGCATGTTCAGAGTTTTTGTTTTGCTTATTTTCTCATTTCCATGGTTATTGTGGTTGCACTGAGCTTGCCAGTAGCATTACTATGCAACACAATTCTTGGTATGGGATGATTTTGCTTGAAAAACAGATGAAAGGTGCAACAAAATTGACATCGAAATTATGAATACATGAAAATCATATATGTGAACTATGGAGTGAAGAATTAAATGAAGGATGATCATCATCTGCAGAAAACCATGCAGAGACTCATCCATGTCAAATTCATTAGCGCCATGCAAGTTTCAGTTCGATACTTAGCGTTATAATATCTCCTCAACTAATGCAACCTGTAAATGTATGCATGAAAATGATTATATGCCATTAATTTAAAACAAACCTCGCATCTGATGCAAAATAAAATTCAATTGGACTGTCCTTATTTGTGGCCAAACTTGACCAGCCATTCATCATGCCATTATGCTCAACTGGTGACTTAGGACCATCATTGTGTTCATCAGCTGCAGAGAATTTTAGTTTTACATTTAGAAAATTATGGAAAAATAATTGAAGCAAAAATTAGTGAGAAATGAATTCCTGTCTATGCCAAGGCAAAACAGTATACTGTATTCCCAAGTCAAAACAAAGTTATTTGATAGGAATTGTTGTACTAAGAAAGTGTGTAAGTAAAGCTCTAAAATTAATGTCATTCAGTGTGTCCTCCCTATTACACATAACTTGAGCAAACCAAAGAGTTCCTTGTTGTTCAAACAGCTTCATTATCTCTACACTGGTACCTTGACATTGTCATTCTATCTACAAACTTTGCTCCGGCAGTTGCTTGGCAATGCAATCAACCAATAGTCAAGATAAAAAATGCCTCAAATGATGCCTGTATTGAATGCTGACTGCAAATAACATATTTGGGCGCTACATGAAACTACCAACCTGAGCTGTAGACAATGGGTAATCGGTCTGTCTTGAGTGGGCATTCACTCTTTATTCCAATGAGTAGAGGACTGCCTCGCCTTTATACATTCACAAAAAGAAAATAAAAAAATCATATCTGAGGCCCATTTAGGCTACAATTTCAGGCAAGCGACATGGCCTTAAAGCATCGACATAAGACTATGAAATAGCGACAAATGACATCAAGATGGGTTACATACTGACAGGGAGATGCATGGCCTACTGCTCGAAATGACTGTATTTGAAATTCAGACTGGGGACATATGTACCCCGCCTAAGAGGGCCTCATATATCCGCCATGTACAATGTTCATTGATACACTCTTTTGATGCTTATAATTTAGGTATATATAAACTGTCAGTCTGTTAAAGGCCAACTAAAAGCAAAACCCTAACATGACAATAAACTCTTAAGTATATTTTATAAATTGAAACATTTTTTCTGGTCCAAAGAAACAAAGTAAACAGCTTTTAAAATGTAGATAAGGTCAAGCTCTCTGTATGAAATACAGTATATACAAACCTGGTGGCCACAATTTCACCAGGGAACTTTGTGCTTTTGAAAGCAAGAGCAAATGCTCCTTCCTATTAAACACAGAAAAAAAACTAAAATCACTTTATTTTATGAACTAGTCTTATTCCTGACTGCACAGATGCTTGATAATATTTGACAGGCTTAACAGTGAAGACTTAAAAAACAGGTTTTTGCTAAGCAAACTGGCATATAGAGTTTACTATATGTTAACACAAATGTAGCTTTAGAGATCAATCTCAGAGTTTATCTCAACTTAAGCTTTGCCTTCCAATGTGGACCGATGGATGCTATAATTCACTCACTAAGTGTTGTATTGTCATTTCCACAAGTTCCCTGAACTCTAAATCTTTCCCCTCTTTCTTCTGTTGGAAGAAAAAATATATATATCAGTTTCAGAGGATAATCATATTATAAGTGCCCTGGCCCTTGACAATTAAGGCACCATTGCTGTCCGTGATCATTAAAATAATGATGTCACAAGTAGTACAAGGGAAATAGTTCCTCATAGGCGGTCAAAGGCAGGTACAAAATGCAGACTGCCACAGGATAAATTGACATCACCGTGCTATGGTAAATAAACAAATGTCATTAAAAGTGTCTCCTATCCCTAATCACAATCCGAAATAGAGTTTTAGCTTAAGGGGAAACTGCTTACTGTATCTCAGTTATTTTATATTTAAGTGTCAAATGTATTTAGCTGCACAAAAGATAAGAGAGCTAATTGACGACATTAATCAAAAAATACATAATAATAATAAATAAAAATACTAATTGCACACACTAATCTTAAAATACATAGAGCAGTGACCTGTACTTGTGACCTGTGACCTGTGTTTTGTACCTGCCAGGCAGTCATGGATGGTTGAGGATTGAATCGTCAATGCCAAATGCAAAATGGATTAGCATGTAAATATATATTTGTCGTTTTGTCCAGGATAATGATTGGCTGTTCAAGATCCTGATCCAACATACATGTAACATACCAGAGATCACAGGTGATAGTCACAAAGAAAGTGAGTGGGAACTGCAAAACTAACTTACTGATTTGTCATAGAAATACTTGACCAGCTTGGGAATGACTTCTGTATCTGTTTCAGACTCAAACTTGAATCCTTTGGTCATCTATAAAAATATCAAATAAATGTTGCCGTTTCTGTGTTATCACAAATTGATGAAGCACTTCCTATACTATATTACAAGGCTGAGCTCTAAGGAACATTGAAGGGAGCCCAGTTCTCTGAACCTGTAAAATCTAGGGTGCCCAGCATATGATTCTGTGAAAGAAGGAAGATTTTCTAGTCGCTCAAGAGCAAAAGTTAGGTACCAGGGGCCACGGGGGTCTGCTAGAGCACAGCCTTGTGTTAAACTTAAGTACAAAGAAAAGAGAACACTCCATGTTGTCATTAAAAGGGGAACACTGCTCTGCTATCGTCTCGACGTTCAACTTCCATGCGTGACAAAAGTGTGACTCAAGGCCAACCTATCTCCCCAGTGGAGTGTACCCCCCCACCCCACTCCTGGATCGGACCTGTAGGACAGAGTCGTCAGCAAACAAAAATGTTTGTTTTTCACTGACACCATTCCCCTTAAACTGCCATTATACAAAGGTCGCTATCTGCAGATGTAATGCAGTCAGGCTTAGATGAAAGCAATAGTAATAACTTGAGTTCTTAGTCTTTAATCTTGAATTTTGTAACTAGATATCTTTACTTACCAAAAAGTGTTTCAGGGTTTTGTAGTTTGTAATAATTCCATTATGTACAGCCACAAATTCTACAAAAAAGTTTTTAAAATGTAAATAGACTGAAAAGTGTCAAGTCAAACATGTAAATACATATATAATCATACTGAAAAATTCCAAAAAATGGAGAGTATTGTTTATTAAAAAGGGCTAGGCCCAGTTGCTCAAGAGGTGGATAATGCTCTTCACTGGAAAAATCCCCATCCACTGGATAATGCAATTGGTTTTCCCAATACTAATCCGCTGGACAGTGATTTATCCGGTGGATAGAGCCATCCGACACTTGAACAACCAGGGAATGGTATACATTTAAGGGTAAAGCCGTAAAAATAAGTCTGGACTTCGTATTTGGAAGGACTTATAAATTAAAAAACTTATTTTCATAATTTTGCAGTAATACAATCTCACTGGCACTAGCCCTTTGCTATTGATGGTCATCTCAAGACAGCTCAAGTTCTTTGGCCACATATTGCAAATGGAGATCAAAGGATAAACCCGCCGACATCTATGTATTGAATGAGCCCTCCCAAGGGAAAAAACACCCAGAGGAACCACAGAAGTCCTTTTTCAGCCAAGTCCAGGGGTGGATGGACCCCAATAAGCATTTCTCAGAGAAAGGCATTGTGCAGACTGCCCAAGACCAAGCCCATTAAGCAGACATCTTACAGTCAACTGTCTTTAAGTCAAATGATGATGATGATAAAATTAATGTTGCCAAGGTGTCCATATACTTAGATACAGTTAATATTATTTACCGCAAGGGTGGGAACTAAAATGATATCTTACCATTTTGAGGATCAGACCTCTGAGGATGACTGTTGACACCGCTTGGTTCTCCATGTGTTGCCCATCGCGTATGTGCAATACCACAATGATAGGTTAAATCTTCTTCAATATCAAAATCAAGTTGGCCTGCAGTTAATGGTGGAAAGAAAACAATTTTTATTCTTCACTTCTTCACAAACAAAAGTAAATTACCTTTCAGGTGTTTAAGAGTGACAGCTTTTAGACAGGATTATGGCAAGAATTGAAGTAAAAGTATCAATGATAATAGCTAATAAGTACCCCTGAGTACTGACTTTTTCTACCTTGAATTTCTTCTTGCAGGGCAGCAACTTTTCCTCGCTTTTTCACAATGCTAAAAAAAAATTATAATTTAAATATGACAAAAACAAAGTCCTATCTAATGATTCCATTATTAACCCTTAGCAATATTTTTAATAACACAAAGGGTAGTGGAACTCACTAAACAGCATAAATGGAATAAAAACATAACAAGGTTAACCGAAGGCAAACCATTTGGCTATTTTGAGGTCCTGCCAGGGGGGGGGGGGGGACAAAAATATAAAAAAAAAAGACTCTCATTTATATTTCTCTCTTTTAACCACATAAAATTTTTTAAAAAAAAACAGGGGGGGGTGAAACACACAAAAAAAAAAAAAAAAAAAAAAAAAAAAAGAGGTAAAAAGCGGGAAACCTTTTTTGTTTTTTTGGGGGGTGGGGGGGGGGGGGGGGGGGGGAAACCATGTCACCAGTCTGAAATTTAAAATGTCTTATGTCGGTGTTTTATAAATGCTTGCGCTTATTGTCGGCTTTGCCATTACTGTCGCAATTTGGCCAAGAGAGGTTGTCTCTTGTGGCGATTTTATTTTACGTGCTGCCGCTATTTTTTGGGCCATGTCGCTTGTCGGAATTTACCCTGGCAGGACCTCTATTTACAAGCGTGGTCAAGGATTTGAATTTGAGACTATGGTGAACAAACCCAGCTAGCGCAGGCTTGAATTTGGGGCGTCCAGATTGCACATTTGCCTTAAGTGAGAAGTAAGTGTTAATGTTAACTTAGGGGAGGGGTAGGTGGGCAGTTTCCTAGAAACCTAAATTCATCCGTTTGCTCAGCCAAAAAATCTGCCATCCTGACTTCAAAGCCAACAAAACAACTTGAGAGGATTGATAAATTTAAGGCTGATTTCCATATGATCACTATGTTTGTTGCAATTGTTACAACATTGCAAAAAAGTTCAGCAATCAATAATACAGTGATTATTATATGGAAACAACTCTTTCAATGTAGTCATAGAATTGTTTAAAACAATGCGAAAAGTCCAGTGAACAGTAGTCCCCCCTACTGAATCACATTATGCCTTTGCAAATGAAAAAAAGTTTTGTTACAGGAGGGACAAGAAAGACACATCCATATATTGGATGGGCCTCAGCACATCACCACACCCCGCTTTGCTTCCAGAAAGAAGTCAACAAATACAAAGGTAAGGAAAAAAAGGCACAAAAAAGTTGCACAAGAGCAGATTTTAAACAATAATATTAACAAATATTCCAGTTTCATCCAGGGATAACAGCTAAGCAGAGGAGTACTCAAATTGCAATTTCTTTGGGGAATAAGTTGCTTTAACAGGAAAAACATGCATATCTTAATACAATATTGTAATCAATACTGTAAACATCAATATGAAACATTGGGGAATGAGAAGTGTTTATAAACATATAAATCCATGCCTCAATACCTTGTTTGAATCTAATACAACTATTTTCAAAGAACTTTTTTATGGTTAATTGGCCATGCATCGATACTTTAGTTTTGTAATCCAATATAGGACAATTATAGCTACAAGTGCTCTACACTGTAATGGCTCTAATTGATTTCCTGTGATTCTCAGAAAAAAAAAACATCGTGACCGGACTAAGTAAACAAAAAACACGACACACATCACGAGATACATTTCTCTTCAGTACATCAAGATTACTGGGATATTGTAATATAAAAAAAATTAATGTAAATTAAATCCACGTTGGCAATTTCATTTATGAATAAACATGAAAGATGATATCGAGAAACTTTTAAACAAACTCGCTCAAGGTTAGTTCATCGATTTAGTGTTCTGAGGATTTAAGGACAAAATTCGTTCCTTTACTAACCCAAGTCACACCTACAAATCGATTTATGATTTTATGGAGCTAAAGATAAGATGATCAATCGAAATCTGAGCAATGATTGTACGTTGCTATACATAGTCCATGAATATAACAATATAAACAACATGTAAAACAACGTATTCAAGTTATAAACTTACCTCATTTTTCCAACCCCATCGTATGCCACTCCTTAAAGAATAATAAAGTACGTCAATATTGAGAGAAATATTATTTAAGCTTACAGCAAAAGATCAAAATGAAACACAATAGCTTAAACGTCAAGGCAGACCTGCAGAATCGTAGCCTCGATACTCCAGTCTCTGAAGTCCACTGATCAAAAGTTCTAGAATGTATCTCCGTTTTCGAGGAACACAGAAGTTAAGATACGCAAATATTCCTAGAAAAGAATTGGACACGTCCATCAGAGATAAAAATAAATACGGTTCAGAGCTCAGTTACTAAGCCGATAAAGCATGTGAGAATTTTGCAGAAATCTTTGAAAGGAATCGTAATTCACTACATAACAAAGCAAAATAATCTTCGATCTCACAATGCAAAGAGTTCCTTACCACACATAGCGATTATTCAGTAACCCGAAATTAAAGATGTTAGTTTTTTCAGCCGAAAAGAAGACAAGTTCTGGTTCTCTGTCTGACGAAAGTTCTGTAAAAATTATGAAACTGTGTTCGTGGCTTGGTGTAACTTTATATAAAACGTGTATTTTGATTGGTTCCATGAAAGTGTTATAGACAAAAGCCTAAACTGACCAATCGTTGCTTCGTTCTCAGGCGCCCAAAACACGCGGCAAACAGAGAGCGAAGGGCGTCATGGGAGAATGCCTTTTTGAGTAGGCGCGATATTGGGCAATTTTTCCGTTCGGTTTGCGACCACAGTTTTGAGCAATCCTTCTGTATGGGTTTTTAGGTGTTTTAGGGCATTTAGTAGAAATCAATATTCCTCTCGGTTTTCCGGTTCCTGCTTGGCTGAAGGAGGTGGAGGTTGTGGTGCACGTGTGTGGCAATAGCCATAGCCACATTGCATCAAGAAGCCAACACTTACTGGAACTGATAATTGACAGGAGCCTATCTAGGCTCCTGTAATTGATTATGTCACTAGAGATTGAATAAATTATTTATTTGTAATGATAAGTTATTCATAATAATAAATTTTTCGTTATTATAAAAAATCAGATGTTGTAGCCTTTCATTGCCATTCTTACGAGAGGTCATTGATGAATGACCGTTTCCTTTTTGGAGAAAGAGGAAAAAGTGGCAAAAAACAATCGGAAAAAGAACAATTTCAAGAGAGGAAACAAGATAGAACTTGCGAAAGTATCCACGTTGACCAACCACAAAAATTCTACTCAAAGAAAGACTATCGACTAGTGCTTTCGCGTTATTTCCTTTACTGAAATGATACAATCGAGCTTTAACGACCTTACGAATACGCGGCATAACTGATCCCCGGAGGGAGTTATTCGACCAATTTTGGATATAGGTGACCCGGGGAACGTGAGGGTTTGAAGCCCTGACCCTGTTTGGGACAAAAAAAATCCAGAAGTAAATCAACTCAATCGTGCATACAATACCTTCAGACTCGCACGAATTTATATGGCCTGTTAAGGACAGACTGGCGCGAAATTATAAACCCTCAGTTTAGGACAGAGAGGATAAAAACCACTGTCCATTGGCACACATCCTCGTGTGAGCCTGTGAACAGGCCTAGAGCGAGGGAAAGTTTAAATGGGCGGGGAAAATGACACACAAAAAAGTAAAGAACAGGGAGAAGAACTCTTCTCCCCGTTTTTTTTCCGCCCGTTTAGTCTTTCCCTCGGATCCCAATATCTGCCCCTGCATGGGTCTCCAAGGATGACGACTTCGCACGTGCATGTGCTTTTCTGTACATTTCGTTGCCGTCGTTGCAAGGCTATGACGTAAAAGTGCCTAACCGTAACGTTTTCTAGAAGACGTGAACACAAGACAACGACTTTTTCCTTTTTGTTTTCCTGAACGTCGATATACTCTTTCGATTAGAATTGAACTCCCGAAATGTTTGCCAACACTTGACGAATTTAAAGAGGTAGCGGAATAGGGGCGATATATCTGTTTGGAAAGTCGGATGGTAAAATGAAACTGACAGTATTATTTTGTCATATACCGAAGAAAAATTAAGGCTGCCGCACAAACTATATGAATTTTAATCCTTGTTAACACCCTCAGTCAAAGAGAGAGACATAACGAACGTACGTGATACCCAAAAAAAGCGTTTAAAATTCTTCGTTGAGATGGTACAGGAATACATATCTCCATATCTCTAAAGTTTGTCATAATTTTTTTGAAAAAATGCTACATCTGTTCGCTAGGAGTAAGTTTCCTGCAAAATTCTTGTTGATACCGCGTCAAATCAAAAAACGTGACCTACTAGTTAGCTCCAGTTGACGAGGACTATAAAACACGATGCTGAATAACAGCGAAACAGACAGGAACAAATCTGCACAATATAAAGTCAAGTCACGACACTTCAAATGGCTTTTACTTATAGCAGAAAATCTTTTTAAAAAATCGTACCAATTTCTCAAGTCGCACGTGCGTATTTTCGTAAAGGACGCTACGCCCCTGCTATCCTGCTCGGTGCAACCTTGCTCTGTTAAAACAGCAGGGGGCACGTTTCTGTCACTCAAAGTAAATTTCAAATCAAAATCAGCCTTGCTACTTTTTTTTTTTCAGGAAAATGCTTTTACCAATAATCATGAAAAAAAGATGATGAAACAAGGATAGGCCGAAAGAAAAAATATCGTATTACTTTTAATACAGGTTTCATATACTTAGACCAAACTCTCTGTTATATATTGCAATAATCAACGTTTTTCCTTCTCGAAAATTTTCCTCATTCCTTTATGATATTGCTCCGAGAGCCATTAGGGCTCTTATAGTTTGGAGTGTAATGGTGTAATGGAATACTGTAAATTCTCTATCAAGCCCCCGCAACTCTCTCTATTACAACAGTAACACTTCGCGCAGACTGATCTGTTATGATTTCATTCACGTGCTTGAAGTTCGTATTTGATTTTGATCTTCGGCTGTATGACCTCCAACTTACTGATTTGCCTGAGCTTTTCCACTTTGCGTTTCAGTTTTTTTAGAAATGGAGAATTGATACTATCATCTTCGCTAAATTAAATAATACCCTCAAATAATTAACCCTCCCTCTCCCCCTCAAACTAGCCTCCCCACAGACGTCCTTTGGGGTTCGTTCGTGACCCCAAAGGGCGTCTGCGGGGAGACTACCCTCAAACATGCTTGAAATAATTAGGCCCCCCTTAGGGCTTGATAGAAGATTTACGTCCTGGTGATACTGAAAAAAGGTTTATACGGGGAGGCTCGGCCCCGAAGTCCAGCCCCTTACCCATTTATACACCCTTTTTGATAGAAGAAGTACCGTATACCTTCTATTGACAAATGGTTTCCCCTTTTAACTTACCTACTTTAGAACTCTTCATCCCTCTTAGCTGTAAAGAGAAAAAGCGCAGGTCCTGCAGACTAACTATGTATCCAGTCCGACTGTTAACTGATAGCTTTATCATTTGCAAAACTATTGAATTGTCGATCTTGAGTGTGAAGCAACATAAGATTTCCAGACACGTTAATTTTTGGGACTTTCAAAGAATGGGTTCAAGAGCCGGAGTGAATGGCGTTCAGGAAACCGTGTTACAAGAGATCCAAGAGGATAAAGAAGCGTTGCTTACCATTTTCATGGGGAACCCAAAAATTTCGGTTGGGCTTAGAAAATATGGACCATTGTTAGAGGCGAGTTGTACACGTTTTTCATTTTTTTTTTTTTTTTTTTTTGGGGGGGGGGGGCCCTTTCTTTGGGTCCCACCCTCCCACCAAACCACATTAACTTGTAAATTATTTTCAATACTTTAAACGAAAACGTTTATGTAAAACATTTAGATATTCATAAGTAGGGGTATAAGAAGCAGAAGAAATTGGTTTGAGGAAACTGTTTTAAAAGAGAACAAAGAGGAAAAAGGAGTGTTGGTAACCGTTTTGATGGGAAAACAAAAAATTTTGGTTGGGATTAAAAAAAAGGAAACTTTTTTTGGGGCGAGTTGTACGCTTTTTTTTTTTTTTTTTTTTTTTTTTTGGGGGGGGGGGGCTCTTACTTTGGATCCACATCTCCCACAACATCAAATTAACTTGTAAATTAGTTCTAATCGTTGAAACGACAAGCTTGACGAGAGACATAATAACGTTTAATTTCAGATCCGAACTCGTATTGGATGACCAGTAACTGAACGAGAATGCCCGGGGAGAGTATTCCCAAGCTCCCGAGAGAGTGGGCGTTGTAAAATGCACATCACTTGTTGGACGAAAGTTCGCAATCACATATTAGTCTGTCCGCAGATGAGTTTTCTTTTTCTTTACTTTTTTTCTTCCTAATTTCAATAAATCCACATCCACTGCAGCTGTCTCCCGCGCAAATTGAGCCTCTATCTGCGCGTCCAGCGGTAATCTACCTTAGGTTTGTTTCTAAACCGTTTTGTGATTGGTTTGTTTTGGAGTTAGAAATAAGGGAAGGAGGATTTCTCTGCAGTGTAGTGAGGCCACTGTGGGAGATCCTCTTCGCATTTTTTACTTTCTTCGCCATGGATCAAGAATACGATTGCATCATTCTCGGCACTGGACTAAAAGAATGCATATTGAGTGGATTGTTGTCTCACAGTGGCAAAAAAGTTTTGCACATGGATCGAAACAACTACTATGGCGGCGAAAGCACTTCTATGCATCCTTTAGAAAAGCTCTTCGAAAAGTTCAACCTCACAGCTCCACCTGCTGAGAAATTCGGCGATGGTCGTTCTTGGAATGTGGACTTAGTTCCGAAGTTTCTGATGGCCCACGGTGGCCTTGTCAAGTTGCTGATACATTCTCAGGTGACAAAATACTTGGAGTTCAAGCAGATCGAAGGAAGCTATGTTTTTAAAGGTGGCAATGTCTACAAGGTTCCTGCCGACGAGAAAGAAGCCTTGTCATCGCCTCTGATGGGGATCTTCGAGAAGCGGAGATTTCGGAATTTCCTTCTATTTGCTACAAAATACAGCTTTGATGATCCGAAAACATGGCAGGGAACTGATCCAAAGACGACCACCATGCGAGAAGTCTTTCAAAAATTTGGGCTTGATCAAAACACTCAAGATTTCACAGGCCATGCCATCGCTCTTTTCCTTAACGATGACTACATAGACCAGCCCTGTGAGGAAACAATCCGCCGTATTCAACTGTACTACGACTCTCTGTCCAGCTATGGAAAAAGTCCTTATTTGTATCCTCTCTACGGACTGGGCGAGTTACCGCAAGGTTTTGCAAGGCTCTCTGCAGTCTATGGGGGCACTTATATGCTAGACAAACCCGTAGACGAGATTGTCATGGAGGAAGGTTCGGTCGCGGGAGTCAAGTCACAAGGTGAAATCGCCAAAACGAAGATTGTGATCGCTGATCCTTCATACTTTCCCGAAAGAGTTAAAAAAGTCGGACAAGTTGTTCGCTGTATCTGTCTGTTATCCCACCCAGTACAGAAAGCTGGTAATTCAAATTCTTTTCAGCTGATCATTCCACAAAATCAAGTCGGTAGGAAATCTGGTAAGTTTAAGTGTCGTATGATTGTCAATCAATTTTATTTGAATTGATTTTTCTTCACCTGCAGTTCTTGACAAGAGGTAATGTACTAGTTAAGCGATGATAAAGTGGAAAGTAGGGTAAAATAATATTTTTCTTTGGAAAATTGTAAAAGTTCCCCCGGATTTCCATGAAAAATTTCTTGTCTTGATCAACATTTCAATTTAATCGGGATCAAAGTACTAAACAACAGCATAGACTTGAATATTTTTTCAACTAGTCAATCTGTTGACAGTGACTTCATTGACGACAAAATTTACTTTTAATATTCGCTGATTATAAACATTTACTAAAAAACATAGAAATTGCTCTGTTTGTACAACAAAAAATTGAGAAAAAATTTTGTTTTAATCAAACATGGTAGATATGATTTTGCCCCTCTTTAAATTTCAAATGTGTGCATATGGTTTTAATATTAATGAACTACATGCACCTGCTCACATTTAATGGCATACATTTGGTGATTTTTTGCTTTCTTGTTCTTTTGTATTCAACAGGCCTTTTCTTAAATATCTTAAAGAAGCTTTTTTCACTTTATATTCACCTTTCAGAGATCATCTTTCCAAGCTCAAAAAAGCTTTTAGCCACTGAAGCTCTTACCATGATCCTTAATATTTTTTCCTGACAAATGTATTATAACAATCAGGGCTGGGCTGTTCAAACCTGGGTTAAGATAATCCAGGGTTTATAGCGGAGCTCCTTGCGTGCGAGCGGAGCACTATCGCTAAGAAAATTGGGTAATCTATCCATCCAAGAAAATTTGGTTATGACTTCAGGGTAAGACCAATCTAAATAATATTTCTTTAAACTTTCATTAACGGACCATGAAATGAACTTTCTTTGCTTCCAAACTAAAGTTGTTTTTTCTTTGCAGATATCTATGTGTCTTGTATGTCTCATACAAATCAAGTTGCTGCAAAAGGCAAATTCTTGGCTATTATCAGCACAACAGTGGAAACCTCCAATCCTGAGGACGAGTTAAAGGCAGGGTTGGATCTGCTTGGTAGTTATGATAAGAAGTTTGTGTGGGTCAGTGACCTGTATGAACCTGTAGATGATGGAAAGGAGAGTAAGGTGAGAAATATTCAAATATAATATCAGCTTTGACATCAAGATACAGTGAAACCTCTATTAAGCAGACATTGTCAGGACCATCCCAAGTGTCCCCTTAATAGAGGTTGTAAAAATTGCATTTGTTAATGATCAGCATTCAATGGTTACTCTGTACTGTGATAAAGTTGCATGTTGTTTAAGAAACTATCCAGAGTTCAAGTTCGTTATCTTTCATTACCAACTTTAATTTGTTGTAAATGCAAAAATATTAATTGACTTCAGTCCGTATTTCAAGGACATAATCCAACACTGCTATTGTCAATTCAGTCCGGTGTCCGCTTAATAATTGAGGTTTTTAACAATAGAAATTAGCCAAATGCACCTTATTTTAGTGTCCACATCCGCTTAATAGAGGTGTCCGCCGAATAGGGGTTCATTATAAAGGAGAAATATCAGGCGTTCATTTCGGGACCAGGCTTAGTGTCCGCTTAATAGAGGTTTCACTGTAGTCTGTTAGCAGTCCATCAGGACTGTTACTCAGGCAAGGGATGGGAGCTTAAGCAACAATGATGACAACAGCAGTGAAAATGTCACTGAGAAAATGAATTTAAATAATATTTCAATCTTTATTGCATCTATTCAGACCTGCGCAATATACTCATGGAGTTGAATGCTTAATAACTCTATCCAGGTTGAAAAGAGAGAGTGGAATTCAGTGCCACTATCCATCCTCCATAAAAAGGTGCATAAAGAAGTTTCACCTCAGTTTTTCACCTGGCACCTATTTATGTGGGAAATCCATTGTGACTTAAAAACATCACTTGGTGAAGAAACTCTAGATCTAAGCTATAACCATGTTTGATATTTTGCTGCAAGTTCAAGTTAATTTCCCTGTGTAACCTCGGCATAATTCTATCTTTAATACCCTGTATAACTTGATACGTTTTTACTGCTATTTTCTTTTTAGATTTTCATTTCCAAGTCGTACGATGCCACCACCCATTTTGAGACATGCTGTGAAGATATCATGGATATGTATGAAAGGATCGTGGGAGAAAAATTAGACCTTTCTTCCCTATCTCATCATCTTAATTCTGATGAATAGAACAGGGTTAATTTTTTACCGTTTGTTTTTCACCAGTCCCAGCATTTACATTTGGATACAACTATGCACTGGATAAAGAAGTTATAATTAGTTTTCCAATGATCAGGGTCCTTCAGGGGGTCATCACAGAAGAGATGGCTACATGTACTCAAAAAAACACTTTTGCTTGATAAAAACAAACAAATTAATGCTTCTAAAATTTTAAAATAAGGCAAATGGGGGTAGACAAAGGGGCCATCCTTGTGGCCGAAACGTTTTCCTTGGTTGCTCAAAGTGCACACTGAAATCAATGCACTTTCAAGGCCCAAGGGAAGTCACTGGACTCCCCCAGTGGAAAGAGGGTGGCCCTCTTCTTTACCCACCAGCACACAACACGGTGCTGTGTGAAAGGCATTCTGCACCTTTTGTTCTAACCTGTTTTCAGTCTCCTGCCTACATCTTTTCTCTTTCTACCTAAAATTTTTTGGAGAGCCATGCATTTATCGATTAGATGCTGATTTTTCCAGTGAATAGCCACAGGGACAAATAGGGTCAGGCCTGGCAGGCCAAGCCATGGCAGTTATGCTTCAACAAAAATTTTGAATCTTCATTTGTCTGCCCAAGGAAAAATTGATCAGCCTCAATTTGAAACATTGTAATAGAAGTATGATAGAAGATTTATGTGTTTCGTAGATTTTGTTTTGGTAAGAATTTTGACTCAATCCCTATGGCTATTCTCAAAGTGCGTGCACTAAGTATGCTTGCGCTTAGCACTGTTAAATAATCTTTATTTATTTATTTATTCATTAATTCAAATGCTAGTTAGTTAAAATTAACTTATTTAATTACATTTTCAGCTTCTGCATTTAATATTTTACATTCATAATTTTTCGGAAATGAGCCAAATTTAGAATTTGACTTTCAAATTGGGCTTGTTCTCGTGCAGCTTGCTTTGTTTGGCACGTGGCAAATTGTTGCAGAGAAAATACAAAAATTTTTGTGAACAGGCTGACTCTGTGACAAAAATGTACATGCATCTGCATAAATTAATATAATTTTCTAAATTCTCATTCTATTAGAAATGGTGCATGAAGAATCACTAAAGAAGTGGCTGTTCTACCATTGAATCTTTTATTATTTATTTATTTATTTATTTATTTATTTACTTATTTATTTATTCAAATGCTAGTTAGTTAAAAATACGATTTTTATATTTTTTGTCAGCTTCTGAGTGGAATATTTTCTGTAATACATCCATACATCCATAATAGTAATGAATACATATTTGTATGAGTTAGTTTTTATTTTGCAAGACATACAGCAAGGGAAGACATTGATATAATAGTTCTGCTAGATACTGCAACACAAATTAACCCAACATTTCCACAGCAGTGAGATTATACTGGTATACTGAAGTGACGGAACAGAAACTTTTGCTATCTTTTCACATGTTTTTGGAAAACAAATCCTTTAGTATATACCTTCCAACTTTTTTTCTTAATTTATAGGCATGACATTTTTATGCTGAGAGTGCCAGGTTTTTTTGTAGGGGTTTGATAATATCCGAAGATGTCCGCAGATGTTCCGATGACGTTCTTAAGAGTTATGTTTAACACGAACACAGGAGCGTAATACGAAGGAACATGACCCCTTCTTCAGTAACTTTCCCAACTAAAATAACAGAATTCGGAGAAAGTTGATCAGTTACATGGACTTTTCTTTCCTTTCATTGGTTCCAGTCTCTTAAAATAATTAATATATTTTTCAAAGTGTGTCAGTTAAACCTGTAATAGCTTAAACTCTTCTACCAGGCATGAGAAATAATAGGAACACAGTTGTGAGTAGGCATGAGATCGAAGTTTTCAATCTGCAGGAATAACAATCATGCCTCGGGCGTAACACTTGGCGGGTATATTAGTAAGTCGCTATCATGCCAGTAATTATTACTGCAGCTTTTCCCAATGCTACACAACAAGATAATATTGCACAAAACTATTATTTTTTGGTTACTTCCATTCTTAATTTCAACATGTGTGTGAAATAACTAACCAGTTGGTCAAATTTCATCTGAAATCAGCTTCTCATTTGTGAAAATATTTAATTCACTCAACTTATAAATAAGAATGTAATTTATGTTGTAATTAGTCATCATAAAAGGAATAATTATGATACAACGGTTATTTGCCATTTTAAATATATATTTATTTAGGTGAACTTATTTATGAAATGATACATAGGTACATCTGTTATTAAAAATATAATTACTATACTCTTGTGTTTTTTGTGCCAAAAGACTTTAGAGAATAATTTATTTTTGTAGTAAGCCATGAGGCAATGACCAGAAATACATCATTCAAAAGCATTTGCAGGCTAACTATTTTTTGCCCCTTTTTTTTTTTCAAAAAATAAGCATTGTTACACAAGCTTGTTTTTGCTTATTTGATTCATTTTTTACAGTTTGTACATATTGTACTGTATTTTGCAATTTCTCAAAATCTGAAAAACTGCAACAAAGTTGTAGAATCCCTCCTCTTTAATTTGGACAATTTTTTATATCTTTCGTGTCTTGAGATTTTATCTGAGAAATTAGTTTTCAACTTTTTGGTAGTCGGCTACATTGAAAACTGATGATGGCGATAATGATGATGATGATGATGATAGCCGCTTTTGTCCGTGGTGCTCCTTTCCCGACTGAATTTCATAAGCGAAACAAAAATAGAGCCTGATCCCACAGTTATGGCTCCAATCGCGCACATTCCCCCGATCATTTGTCAGGCATTTGTGAAATGCTGTGTTCCCATAGGGCATTACTTAAAGATCAGCTTGCCCAGGGCTTAGCCTTTGAGTAATGCGCGCATGGGAACACAGCATTTCACAAGTGCCTGACAAAGGCAATCAAGGAGTTGGAGATTTTAGTTTCGTAAAAATTTACGACTTTTTTCTATTTATTTCTTTTTTTTTTCAATTAGTTTACTTTATCATTTTTTTCTACTACACCCACACCTCTACCCACGACCCACGACAGTTAGCTACACCCCCGATTGTACGTACCATTCTGACGTTGCTGAGAGGAGAAAACGACTTGAAGCAGTCGGATGAAATTCAGGTTATAATTTCTATAATGCAACACCGAAGAAACGGACAAACGGAGGGCATTTTACGCCTCATGCGCTTAGTTGCGCATGAGTAATTAAGTCATTCTTGACGATTCTGGAGTTTCCCGGAATACTTTCCCTCGGGCCCGATACCAGCGATACCGTCAATTATAAGGAAAAAGCTGTCTGAAAAAAGAACGTCTGTTCCTGAAACACAGAATTCAGTCATCTTTAGACGAGGTAAGTTGCGAGTACTTTCATAAGAGAAAGCCTCTAGGACCATTCAGTGTTGTTTCATCACGAGTTTTGAAGTGAAATCCGTTTATAGTTTGGCGTTTGATGCCCTTTTATATAAGGAAATGCTTCAATAACAGACACAGGTCGATACGGTATGTTAAAGACATTTCGCTTTCTTCGAAGTAGAATTGCATCGTTTGATCTGATCTCATCTCCAGAGACTGAAACGACCTTCAGCCTTACGCTGTAAAACGCTGTATAAAAATCATCTGCTTGATTCAGTGTAGAAATGCGTTTAAGCAAATCACGAACGTTTTGGAATGGACTCGCACGATTTCAGTTGTAAAATTTTTATGTTACAAAGATTATAAAGTTTAAGAGTATTTATATTTGCAGCAGGAAAGTTAGTATTTTCCCTAAAATCCCGATGTATGTTTACGGTGCACTAAAGGCGGAAGTAAAGCGGAAGTTTCGAGGACTCATTTGATAATTTCAGTTTCACTCATGAATGAAGGGTTCAGTTTCTAAAAAATTGTGGTATTGAACTGCAAAGATTTTGTTCTGTCAACTGAGTTTATAAGGTAGCTATTAGTACTGACTATCGTAGGGAGGTAAAGAAGCTGACTTTTCGCACACAAGCCAATCGCTGTGACGAATAGCGAACATGGTAAGAGCCATAACAGTGAGCGGGGCGGAAAGAGGAAGACGGCGAAACGTTTGTGTCTGAAAAACATGACAGGGCTATTACTTCCAATTTTTTTGATGATCTTCACTTAACCTTACTGTGCTCTGGTCTTCTACAAAACCAGATCTGTTAAAATCAAGGTGAAGTTTGGCGGAAGAGTCTTTTTAAACTTTGTCACGCTTGTCACACAAGTTTTGCGGTCTTCCCCCGCCCCCGTCCTTTTGCGTAAGTTCATACCTAAGAAAAGGTTGTTTTACATATGTTAAGGTCTATGGCACTTACAGATCTAAAACATAACGCTAACTATGTCAGACTAGCGCTGCATGATCCTGCATTTTTGCTGGAAGGGTGTTTCGGCGCGATGCTCTTCAAGGGCGAGGACGGTGATACATTGTCTCCAGAATCGCTTGTTACTTTGAAACAGCGGGTGGTGAGGAGGACCTTCATACTGTTCTTATGCGAAAATGTTTCTAATATTTTTAAAGTATGAATGCGTTGCTGTCTCAATTCTGATATTTAAAGCATCAATGCCGCAATAAACTATTCCCTTTTAAACTCATCATTGTCAGGATCGTACGCACTATGGCAGCTATTCCAATATGCATACCTAACAACTGTTCATGGGAGGAGACTACCGGAACCTT